CTACATTTTCCGAGTTTTTAATGTTTTCATGGGGGATACAAGTAAAAGCACAAGTAATCTTGTGTTAAAGATATAATTTGGTTTATTATATTTTTCTATCGATAGTATACATTGAACATAGAATTTACTAAACATGATGAACATAGTTACTACTAGACTTGAAATCAGTTTTTACAAAACATATTAAGATACAAATATGGAGAAAACAGTTTTCAGAAACAACGGAAACAAACTTATGAACTATGAAATAAAAGATATTATTTTATAAGGATTCATATTAATAACATAAAGGGTTTTCATAGTATTATTAGTGAATTCGTTGAGAGAACTACAGTGTGAGACGCCTTGTAACCAAAGTCTCCTGACGGGAGAGAGTGAGTTTGTGTATAGATCTATACAGGAGTGACAATCCCGCACCCTGACTATTAGTTACAGTCAACCGAGGGTGAAAAACGTCATTTTCATCGACGTACGTCCGAGTACGTCGTATTGTTGAGCGTCCATAGTATGGTTATGAGAATCCACAGGTGAAACAACGACTCGTTCACATAATAATACTCCTAACAAACAGACATTAGGGTTAGTGATCATGTGATCACTTAGTATATACACTACGGTAATATGAAATTAACATCCAACTTTCAGTGGGATGTGTGATCTCCGCCTCATTTCCTGTTCCTTGTTTGGTTGTGGGCTTAGGGCGGAATCACCTAATCGACTGTCTGTCCGATCTAGATTTCTATAACTCGTATGTGCTAAGTGATCGCATGAGGGTATTCACACCACGGTATTCACACTACAGTTTTCATACAAAGGTTTTTCATAAAAAATCCTTTCATGTAAAGGTTTTCAAACAGACAATTCAACAACTTACACTTAGGGAAAATATAGGATTTTCCAGGGTAAACATCCGTACTTTATAAACAGTTGGTTCATTATTCAACTAACGAATATTCATTATTAATTCCATGGCTCCTTAGTTTATGCATCCAGGTTACGTATGAAGAATACCGGATAGATCGTGGAATGTGTGGTTCTGCCTCATTCCCTGTTCCTTGTTTGGTTGTGGGTTTAGGGCAGATCCACACAATTAATTGTCCATCCGATATTGGTTGATACATAACTAGTATGAACTAAGAAGTCATAGAAGGAATGGGTTAATCATGCTTTACATAAGAAAATATTGGATTTTCTTGAGAAACACTTTCAACAGACATCAAAGAATCATTTTTACTTAACATTTATTGCAACATAAAATATAAGGCTTTCAGGAGAAACATAACGTACTTTCGAAAGAACAAAGCATAGTTTTCTAAAACAAAATGCTTATGAACTCACCAGCTTTATGCTGATACTCTTTCAAAACCTACTTGTATTCTCAGGACAGTAGTAGACAGGTACACGCACCGGGTTCATGAAGATGGAGTGTCGTAGTTCGAGTCTTGATTTGTTATTTACTTTTGGAGTCAATCATGTATGATTCAAATGTAAAGTAAACACTATACTATTAATACAATGGTTGTTGTTGTTTTGATTACTATTATTCAGTTGTTGTGATACTATACATGACGTCCTCCGCCCCCGAACGTTTCTGCCGTTTCGGTTTGGGGGTGTGACATAGGTCTCCACCATCGTGTCGTGACCAGTCAAACCCCCAAAATTCGAAAACTACCTAAATTAAATTCCAAAAGACTACAACCTGAAAGATAGTTACACCAAGGCTATATTGAGTAATTTATGGATTAAGAACAACCATGTTTTTGTATCTATACCAAGGTTTGTACGTAATGGCAAGAAATGTCACCATTAAATATTTCTAAACAAAATGGTTTTGTCAATGGCAAGTCATATGTAGGGTAGGTAAGTAGATGAGAGAAAGTCTAATCAAGACATTTGATTAATCAATTCATATATTTCAATTAATGTTTACATCTTGCATATATATTTCGACTGATGTTTATATCTTGCATATCAAAATATTAAAAAAAACTTTAAAAAAGTACCCAGATTATAGTTGCAAAGTCTACCATCTTCTTCACAAATACAAGTGTTTATACATCTTGTAAATAAGAAGCTTAAAGAAGGAACCTAAACTATAGGAGCCTTAGCAACTCTACAATCTTCGTAGATTAAACTACTTTTACCTAAGTTTGTCAATCTTTGTGATTTCCTAACGGTAATTATCGTTAAATCATAGGTAAGAACCAAGCTATATCTCACCATCTAATATAATTTCTTCTTTTGAACTTTCTAATGAGGTAAAGGCGACAATACTAGCAAAAGGAAAAGAAATTGAAAACACATTATCATAATGTCCGTTTAGAAAGAGAGAGGGGTGAGTTATGTAAAAGCTCAAATACATGAAAAAAAAGATATGGAACAAAGATGCAAAAAAAGGAAATAATGAAAACTAAAGATCGGATACGGGATACAAAAGGATCTCTTTCAAGAGTAAATTACACGAATGGTCCCTATGTTTTGGGATAATTTGCGCTCTTGGTCCCTAACTTATTTTTTTGACTCGGAAGGTCCCTACTGTTTGTTTTTGTTAAGCATTTGGTCCCTACTATTAGTTTATGTTACGCGCTTGGTCCTGTCTTACCTAAAACGACTAGTATTTAAATAGGGAAAATGATGGGATAGGTAAGGTAAGGTGAGGGGTGGGGTTGGGTGTGTTTATTTAAATAAAATAAATAAAATCAAGGGAAAAATAGTCTTTTTATATAAGATATGGACCAAACGCGTAACAAAAACAAACAGTAGGAACCTTCCGAGTTAAAAAAATAAGTTATGGACCAAACGTTCAAATCACCCTAAACCATAGGGACCATTCGTGTAATTTACTCCTTTTTCAAAGCAAGCACGTGGAATGAGGGTTGGGGTTCTAGAGATGAATGATAAAGCAGCATGATAACTTGATGAGGCGAAAAAAAAAAGAATTTTGCATATGAGTTTTCAAAATGGCAAATTATAGATGATTAGTAGTATTGTGCATGTCGGTACAGTTGTTAAATTTTTATTTGTCGGTACGAATTTTCAAAATGGCAAATTATAGATGATTAGTAGTATCCCATGTGCATGTTGGTACACCTGGGATATCATTATTTACCCTCCAGTTATCTTATACAAAGCTTGATCCACAGACGGAGTAACGGGTTGTTTGATAGTTTCTAGAGCCTGATTGAGTTAGAAGCTGAAACAATATTGTTTGATTACACATATGACTGACTGTGTTGAATGTTGAAAAAATGACCATTTTACCCTTTTGTTTTGTTTTGTTTTATGCTGAATAAAATCTATGAGCTTGCAAAAACATATTCTGCAACATATATACAAACAAAGAATTGAACAATCAACATTAAGGCTTTGACGAAGCTCTTTTGTATTCCTCTTGATTCCTAGAAATGCGGTGGAATCAGTTACTTTGAAACCCCAACTATACATGTACTTTTCAAGCTACTAATAAGAGAACTATAACTACTAATAAGAGAACAAGTTGCAAATCCATTTTAGCATTTTATCTAATCAGTGTACAATGGTGTGTCTAAAACGGGTATGATGGACATAAAGAACCAATAAACTACGTACTAAAATAGTGAAGATACCATCAGAAACTTATCAAATAATTAAACATTGCCATCCATTTAAAAATAAAACAAATACATGAGAAACATAATACACCCTTGGCATATGGTATACTAAGGACGGAATACCAATCATGAAATACATTTATAGAGAATCAGGAGTATTCAACTTCCTAAATATTCAAGTATGAGTAGTTAGCTTCCTAAGTAACTAATAAAAAGAAAGTTATTTGACATGACTAAAGCATATTCTTAACACTCCTCCATGGCTTTCGTGAGGAAATGCAAAACCCTATTGTAGTGAAGGCGTAGGTATTTAAGGCCTCCAAACGCAGATCCTTAAGATGCCTTTAAATTCTAGGTCCTGAAGGCGTAGGTATTTAAGCCCTGAAAGACATGTAGGTTTTGAAGCCTAGGTCATGAAACATTGATGCCAAAAGTGTAGGTAGTGAAGGCTGCTACTGATGGCTTTAAGGCAAGCTGCCAATATCCAAAACTGCTGATCCACTTTAATGAAATTTTTGGTATACATACATGATTTGATCAGTAAGTCTAGGGTCTAACTCTTGCATTCTAAAACAACCTAGCCATTCTCTTGTTTAATGCTTGACTTCCTGTTTTGCAGCCCAACTTGAAGTTGTTTTTCAAGTGAATAATTCCCATGTAGATTTTGCCACAGATAATTGCATTACAGGTCATAATAGTACTTACAAATCGTGTATAACGCAATCTAATTTGATATCCAAGTTTTATTGACTATCATTCACAGTCGAGCCAAAGTGAATCCCTGCCCTACTCATATAGAATCTCAAGAAATAGTATTTTCATGAAATGAATGAGTTTAACCAAAATTACACATAATGAGTTTATACTTTAACATCAATTGTAGTATATATCTCTAACTTAAAGTAATAGTTGTGTCCGCAATCCAAAAATAAAGGTTTTGTCCTATAATAGCTTGGTGTTATGACCCATTAAGTTCAATACGTCACAGACAAACGTTGAGCCATAGTTCTAGAATGTTATACACGAGTAAAAACGTTTCTATAGATTCCAAGACTTTGTATGAAAATAGTATCTTGATAATCTTCTAATATCATGTATTTACATTTGCGATCCACCTACATTCAGTAGAAAAAAAACATTACACAAACTCAACATTTAAAAAATGCAACATATTGTTTTTTAATGGACTTTATTCAACAAAAAATTATCTTCATTGTTTGTCCACTAGGTTGGAATGAGTGAAGTGGCACTTTGATTGAGAACCAAGTGTTGCATGGTGACCATCCTAACAAATTCAATCATATCAAGCACAACAGTATTACAAGACGGAGAACATATCCGCAAGAGCGTATCATAGCTGGTTTATTGATGGTATACTTACAGAAAATGAATAGATCAAACATAACAAATTTAAGCAAATGAAGATATAGAAAATGAAATGACATGACAATCAAGAACCAGGATGTAGTAACCATATGAACATGAGTAGATCCTGCATAAAAAATTAAGAATCAAAATAGTAACATACATCAATAATACTAATGTGATTTAAAGAAACACAGATAATTAAATGAAGGCATACACTTTTATGAGAAAGTCTATAACAACATTTTTTTGTTAGAAGCTTTCTACAAGATGCTAAAGTGATGGTATTTAAAGCATTTTTTAACATCATCAGACACGATATTACTAGAAAGTAAGAGTTCGTCACACTTTAAAAACATCAAACATACGTTTCTGAAATCCATCAAGCACAAGCTATTGAAATCCATCAAACACAATTTATTAACATAAGATACTAAAAACTATCAGAAGCTATCTTTATAGCAGACAGAAGCTATGTTTATACCGGGTGAAGGTAATGAGTCTGTTACACTTCTTATTAGGCTTACGTTTCGTCCTGTCAGTTGTGGCTTAAGTAGAGTAGTGAGGGCAATAAGGACTTTTTACTGTTAGATAGGTTAGCTAGGCTTAGTTTCATTCCACTCCATAATGGAAATTTAAAAAAACATCCAAACGACAACGCAGTGACAATTAACAAAATGGAAGAAATCAAATTCCTTCAAGAATTGCCCATTCCATTCAACCGGACAAGACAAACAGACTTTTCCCATTTCTATGGAATGAACCATTCCATTCCTTACCATACTCCATGATACCAAACACTATCTAAATGTAAATCGAATAAGAAAAAAATAAACTTAAGTAAGTTCAATGATCAAAACTATAAACTATAGATAATGTCCATTTGCAGACCTCATATATTACAAAAGAAAATGAAAGCATCCCATGAGTAAACATGAAGATTGAGCTATGAGGCCAAGATCAACACAGTTTTTTAGGGATGAACAAGAATCATCATAAACATTAATAAGAATTCAGAATCAAGATATAATTCCACAGTTTGTATTATATGATAAACAAAATGAATGCACCTTACGACTCTTCTTGCTATTACTCTCTTCTGTCTTTCTCTTTGGCCTCCCGTTAACATAGGGAGATACAAGACTCTCCATATAGATAGGGGCACAAATATACTCCCTAGTCTTGTAGAACAGCATATCACCACACAATCTTCCATAATACCTAAATCCATATCTGGGCGGCTAACAACACCAGATTCATATTGCTCATCATCAGGTTGGGGAATTTTGATAAATTTTTCTTCAGATAGCCGAAACGAAGTAATGACTCTCTTCTTATTTGGAGATGAAGAATCTTTCATAATCCAATGAAGTGCCCCATTGCATAAGATACCAATCCTACTAAGAAACGAATACTTTACATCTCCAATTAGTTTCCAAACATTTGATTTCAAACTTAACACTTGAAAACATGTCCAACCAACACGTTTACGGAACCCTAATACAACCTTGTAATCATCCGTAGATGAATCATAGCCGAAACCCCAGCATAAATGCTTGGTATCATGAATTTGAGGGTCTCGTAGTGTTTGAACCTCTCTAGTTGAGGGATTAGCTACTACAAGTTGAGAAGAAAAAGAAGAGATGCATACAAGTCCATTGGAAGAACCAAGAAGATGACAATCACGATCATCAAAGAATCTGTCATCAACATCACAAACACGCGGCCCGTTGCGATAAGAGAGCCTTGACATAACAATCCTCCTATCTATATCATTGTTTTTGTAATCAATTTGGTAACTATAGTTCATATGGAATTTAATGAAACCAGAGTCAGAGATCAATTTTTCCCAAGACTTACACACACTTTTGCATCAGATTAGATCCGTCACATTCAATATTTTCAGTATATTTGGAAGGAGATCACCGTGAAGCTCTGCCATCGAAACCCTAGAGTCGGCAATCCGAAAGGAAAGAAGGGTGGGGGGGGGTACCCACACCATAGCGAGAAATTTATTTCTATGGTGTATTTATTAGGGATTTTAGTTATCAACACTCATAAATGCAAAACATGATATGATGAAATTAGAGAGATTCATTTACTGAGATGGCTTTTACAAACCTGCCATATATGATTAGTACTTCAATACCTATAAGATCACTAATGCCATCTAGATCATGATCTTTGATACTTGCTTTGCTATAACTACTAAAATCAGTGTTAATGACATACCTTCTTTCTTGAGTATTTCTCTTATGCTTCCTTTAAAAAGTCAACTAACATGTATTTATCATGAGTTGGTATATATATATATATATATATATATATATATATATATATATATATATACATATATATATATATATATATATATATATATATAAAGGCCTAGGTTATTCTATTCAAAGTAATTATTGTGTTATTATATGCATAAATGTGGGCCAATCATTTTACTTATTTTAAAAAAGTGATTAATACATATTATTGAATTAAATATAATTGAAAAATACGATCTAATTTAACTAGAAGAGTATTTTAGTCAATTAATACAGATTTAATAAAGGAAATTTTCATATTTTAAGGGATCATAGATTTTATTAATTTTAAAAATCCGATTTTTTACTGATTATAAGGTTTTTAATTCGAACATTCTAATAGAATATGTTTGACTATATTCAAAAATAAAAATATTCTAGAACAATAAAATAATAAAAATATTCTTGAACATATTTATTGATCATGACTTTAAAAATTTCTTGTAGTATAACAAATTCTCGAACCAACAATTGAAGAATTAAAACAAAAATTACATTAATTCTTATAGAATACATGTAACAATTGTAAAGAATTACATTTATTGTTAAAGAATAAAACTAAAAAACTTTCCAATCGGGAAAAAAAACATCAAAATCTAACAAATACACTAATTCATTCTAAAAGAATAATGTTGCTAAAAAACACTTTTAATTTTGTTGTCCGTTCTTCAAACATCAACTTCTTCAAGCATCAACTTCTGTGAAAACAAATCCAATTGTAGCTTAGAATCCAATAACGCATTAGCAAATGATAAATAAAAAACTATATTCCTTTGGAAAAATATGCGGACTTGTTAACTGCACCAAAACCAATAACCAAAAATTGTAGAACATGTATAATCAATGAGAAAATATCCATATTCCATTCCAACAGAATTAGAATTCGTGTTTCCATTTCGATAGAATTTGAATTCGTGACTCCATTCCGATAGAATTGGAATGGTATAAAATACACACACCGATTTAATGGTTCTAGAATATCATAATGGGCTAGATTAAATTCATCAAGAACTATCCAATGACCATTTCTACTCTGTTTCAGAAATCAGAATAGAAATCAAAAGCATAATCTATTTGAAAAGAAATAAGTGCGAACACCACATCAAAAATTAAATCACAGTAATATAAGGCACGAAGCATACTAAAACCACGTTTTTGAAACAACATTACACACAAAAAGGTAAACATTACCTTGTTGTCATTGAAGAACTCTGCATCCAACATACTAAAACCACGTTTAAGGCAGGAAGCATCATCTGCGTTTTTAGATTTTTTGTCATGGATAGAAAAATCAGGACTTGCACTGTCCTGATTGAAAGATAATCCAATTTAGTGGAAAAGTATGAAATATGTGACAGCAGCCTATCAGATGCATTTATTACCTGGATAAAATGGTTCTAGATAGACTTGGAGCTTTTTGAAACAACATTTTTCCTATTTTATTATAGGTACTCACCTGTACTTGTAGTATACCAAAAACTGGTCAATTCTGATGCAGGGAATTTAGTGACATGGAGTACAGAAACTATTGCTGCTAAACTATTGCTAAACAGATGTATAGGTGTTCATGATATGCAGAAATTATTGCTGCTAGCTCTCTAACAACGAACATTGTGGTGAATCCAGAACAGTTTGGTTGACTAATCATGCCAAAGTTGATTCTAAATCAATTAGGAACATAAACACCGTAATAAATTACGATCTACAACAGCAATAGCAAAAACAACCACGATATATGAAATATAGGGAGAAAGAGTACCATATCGGGCTATTCGCAGAGGCTCCAGTTGAGGATAGACGGCAGTCTGGAATTGAAGAACTCCTACAGAACAAAAACAGAGTGCAGTGCACGAGAATGATAAACAACAAACCACCGACGTTACGTGTCGGCCGGAGAGGTAACGGAGGAGCCCTGCCGGCCATCTTCTTCGATCACGTGTCTGCCGATTTGATTATACATGAATCTAGCGAGTGATCGGAGGGTTTTATGAGGGGGATAAATTTAGGGTTAGAAAAAGTCAATTAAATATAAACCTGGAGAAATTAGGTTAAAAGTCAATACCATGATTATACGGATTATTTTTGGAAGTTATTAATCATATTACTAAATTACCCTTATTAATTTATTTAATTATTTAATTTTTTATTTAATTTTGATTGACCCATATTTATGCATACAATAACACAATAATTAGTTTAAACAAATGAACCTAGCTCTATATATATATAAATATATATATATATATATATATATATATATATATATACATATATATATATATATATATATATATATATATATATATATATATATATATATATATATATATATGGGGATACGGAATATACATTACAGCCCCACCTAAGCTTAGGTACTAAACCTCTAAAATATGTCGTTTTAACTTGCTAAATATACCCGGTTTGGTTTCACTTGGTAAATATATCATCCTCCATAACATTTCTTTATTTCATTATCGTTTTACCATCTCTGTTTTCTTTCCTCCATTATCGTTTATTACTTTACCCAAGTGAACATTACTAAACCCTAAACCTAAACCCTAAACCCTAACCCCTAAACCTAAACCCTAAACCCTAAATCCTAAACCTAAACCTTAAACTCTAAACCTTAAACCCTAAACCCTAACCCTAAATCGTAAACCCTAAACCCTAAACCTGAACCTAAACTCTAAACCCTAAACCCTAAACCTAAACCCTAAACCCTAAACCCTAAACCCTAAACCCTATTCTGTCGATCTTGAATTTACATCTTGAAGTATTAATCGTGAATCCATTAACCGTAATCTTTATATAGTAAAACAATGTATTTTCAAGAGGTTTAGTACCTAAGCTTAGGTGGGGCTGTAATGTATATTCCCTTTTCCCTATATATATATATATATATATATATATATATATATATATATATATATATATATATATATATATATATATATATATATATATATATATATATATATATATATATATATATATATATATATATATATATAACGGGACACCATGGGACTTTCAGGACGGGACTACCCACCCCACCCCTGCCCCGAAGTTAAAACGGGGGTTAATTCTACCCTCACCCCCGTCCTTGCCCCTACTTTTTTAAACAAATACCTCAAACATGGGATCGATGTCCCACGAGACTTTTTGACATCCTTCTCTAAGTGCTCCATTAACATTCCAAATGCCCCAATGAAATATCTATGCTCCATTGAATTTGATCAAGTGTTCACACCCTAACAGTGAATTGCTTCTAGTGGCCTACATAGAAGAAGTTAAGAAATGATATGGATGGTTACATGATTTGAGATATTCGAACCACGTGAATGGAGATTGATCATGGTTCTCAAAGTCACACGACCACAGTTAAACTTGGAAACAAAATAATAACTAACGTGCCTGCTTAAGGTAATGCTAAGATCAAATTGAATGGAATCAATCATATTGTTTTTGATATGTACAATGTTTTGTAGTCGAGGAACAAATCTTACTATGTCACGGCTACAAGAAAGTGGTCAAGATATCTTGACAAAAGGAATGTGTAAGATTTTTCATCCCAACGAACGTTTGATTATTAAGACCTTAATGGGTGCAAGTAGCATGTTTATGATGTCTATTGAATCACAACCTCAACCCAGTCGCAAAGAAGACCGCTTGATCACCATTCACAAAAGGATAACAATTGAGACGTAACTTTGGCACACTTGGTTGTGGAACTTAAATTGTACATGGAACTTGTACATGTAGACCTTTACAGACCACGTCAAACACTAATAAGAGTTACAAGTTTTGTTTTATTGATGATTTTAGTAGAAACTTTTAGGCATATCTTTTTGATATAGAAAAATTAAGACACATTACTACTTCAAATGTTTCAAGAAATTAGTTAAGAAGGGAACATGTTTTCTAGTGAAGTGTCTAAGATATAACATAGGGTTGAAATCGACTTGATGAATTTAAGGAAACATGTATGGAAAAGGGAATAGAAATACAACTTGCGTACAAATGCTTACATGGACTAGCAAAATGGAATCTCTAAACGAAAAAAAAAAACGATCATTATTAAAATGGCTAGGAGTTGTTTTATCTAACAATGAATGCCAAATAGATTTTGGGAAGAAGTAAACAACTAAAAAACTATTTTATGGATAGATCTACCAATACAACTTTGATAGATATCAATCCTGAAAAAGCGTGGAGTAGTAATCGACCCTATGTTTCATATTTATGTGTATTTGGTTGTTTAACAAATGTTCATGTACCATAACAATAGAGAATGAAGCTTCATGACAGGAGCGTGGATCCTATACTCTTAGGATTCGATTTTTCATTGAATCTAAGGCCTATAATTTGCTCAATCCCAATATTAACAAAATCAAATTTACAATGAATGTTATTTTTAATGAAGATAAAGGATAGTGTTGTAGCAAATCACATAGTAGAGAAGGTCGACACTAAGAACAATACCAATGAGGATGACAACACCAACGAAGAAGATGAACGGTTAAGGATGATATACATCATGGGAGATTTATAATAAGAAACGGGTAGAATTCCTATAATTCGAGAAACAAGAATGTGTCCATATGGGGCACTAGTTCACCTGGAAGATTAAACATGTCCTAAAATTTTGCGATAAGGGCCTTGACGGCCTCGGAAGCCTCACTCGATTCAGTAACCTCCGATGCTAACCAATTCGGTGATACTATAACGACCTGAAGAATGATTTGAAAGAGACTGGATTCTTAGACAAGCTCGGATCTCCTACCTATGTAACACTCCGTTTCCCTTCCATAATGTCATCGTAAGATCTTTGGAATTTACAATCATATCCCCCATGTTTGCATCTATTTAATACCTAATATTACATCGGTGACCTAACTCTAGAGGGAAGAAATCATCTACGACTAGTAGATCGTGAAACACGAGAATCAATTTTTTTTACCAGTAGTTCATGCAATGCCTTGTGAAACGAAGTTACCCGCCATCAATTAGTACCACCACTTCAAGACCGCCCATGTTTTTGTGTAGTTTCATAGTCTATGGAGCGTTAACACTATAAACGAGTTTAATGTGACTTCCATTGTATCTAAGTGAGCATGATCCTAGTTTGTATTAGACGGTTCTTCCTGATCCTCTTCTTCATGTTCGTCTCTCAGTACACTACTTGATGGCCTGGTGCGAACTTGGCATCACATTTGAAGCATAACCCTTTTGCCCTTTAGCTGCGAGTTCATCCTTTGAAAATCTTTTGAACGTCCTCAGCTATCCCCATGCTACCTCTAACTTTCCCATATGAGGTTACCATATCTCCATATGTTGATCGGAATGGCCAACCCCCGATCATGCCCCTCTCCCATCAACACGGTTCTCGTTACCGCCATTCGCATTGTGCGGGTCAATCCCCAGGGTTGTATGACCCTCACCGAAGATCTGACTTTCGATTTTAGCTTCTTGATGGAAGTTCCTTCCTATATCGGTTTCCAATGCTTCATATTGCTTCCACATTGCTTCCACAGCCCATTGGTATTGTTGTTGATCGGAATGGCCCACCCCTATCATGCCCCTCTTCCATCGACACAGTTCTCATTACCGCCAATCGCATTGTGTGGGTAAGTTCCTAAGGTTGTATGATCCTCACCAACGACTAAGTTGTTGTATGATCCTCAGAGTTCCAATTTTAGCTGCTTGATGGAAGTTCCTTCCAAGACCTGCTCCAACTGCCCCTGTAGTTGGACCCATCATGTTCCCAAAATTTCTAACATAATCGTGGGCGGATAGATATGAATTGCTCATATCGGCTACCCTCGTACGATAGCTGGAATGATCAAGGAGATGTCATTTCAGTCTTCTTCATTATCAAAATGGTGACGTGTCCTCACTCCAACGATACCAAGGCTGCTCCATCCATATATAAGGTTGCAGCCTTGAGTTGTTCGACTTCCTCGATGCCTTTAATCTATTAAAAGAACACTCAATGCGGTAGACTTACACACACACATCTTCTCCTTCAAATAAGGACCTTTTTTGCTTTATGTACTCGAGCCCCTTCGAACCAACTTCTTCTTTCATCCTATTCTTATGCGATTCCCATTTTTCACCTTCGCCTTCTTGCTTTTTCCCAACCCGATTCGTTCTCAGATAATGGAAACCCCCTATCATCGTAGAGACGGTCTTTCGTCGTGTGTCGCTCGCATTCTTCCTTGGTGGGCAAGTTACCCACCTTCGTAATTAAGTGGTTCATGGCCCGGAGGAGTTATTCAATCTTCTAGTTGTGTTCTTTCTATTTTTCCTCGGCTTCAATCTTCGTAATTAAGGCTTGAGCAACCACAAGAGTTTGAAGTAAAGGCTTATGAGAAGAAAGTGTACAAAGTTCATAACGTACTCTATAGGTTTTCAGGCTATTCGGTCTCATATATAACTACATATACACCAGGTAAAGAGGGGTTTGATTATTATAATTTTTACAGTGCACTTGAAAGAATTTAAAATGCAACATAATCCAATCCGAAACATAAACGGAATTACCTGAATTGGTGACAAATTTGCAGAGGCGGAATAAAACCGATCTAACCTGTATCACCCGTGGATGAATGAAGGGGTGTTTGGATGTGCATACTCAGACCACATAAACATACTGAGGGAACTCCTGTCATGTTGCAGTTAATTCAATAAATAAGCGCCTCCAATTGCCCCCCTGGGCTTTAATAACCATCTTTAAATCAGAGATGCATGGCTCAGAAATCAATGGCGTGAAGGTAACTTTGTGTATACAACGTAAGTGGGTGCGGATTTTCATCAAAGACTTATCCTGCAGTTCAGTGGCATCCATAACATATAGCATCTGGAGGAACATAACGTCAAGGTAACTTTGTGTAATTTGTAATGCTGAGCATCGGATTTCGACC